CCCTATAATTATTACATAAACACAATTAAGTATAAATAAGTGTTTATTTTTGTGTATAAGCTGTTTAGATTGTCAAAAAGCCTGTGTTTTTAGGGTTATTAACAAAGTTTGTGTACTCAGACCAGTAATATTTGGGGTCACAAGTTTTTGCCATGGATATTTTGTGGGTCAGAAGATAAAAAGTTTGGGAACCACTGCTTTAGACAGTGTCTTTCTCATTTTATGTTGTGGCAGATGGTAACAAAATGGAAAAAGTTCCAGTAAAGCACAGAAAGCAGATTTACGTAATAGTTGATGATGTGGAAGGAAAACAAAAGAGACAAGAAAAGGTGTTGGTTGTCATCAAGTCATTACAAAACAAACATTGAGCAGAACATCCAACGAGACAAATGCAAGCTGCAGAATCTGTCTAATCTAAGATTGTAAGACAAGATTTTTTAAAGGGGACATATTATGAAAAAATCACTTCTTACGTTTTTTATACTTCAATTTTGGTTTGTACTGCTTCCAGAAACAGTCCAAGTGCCAAAAAGATTCTTCCAGATATTTTTTGGCAATATGTGAATGTTTTGTTAGTGTCAGCAAATGAGCTGTTTCTAAAACCTACGTCTTGTTACATCATCAGGTAACCAAGGAATGCCTAAGAAGAGCCCAGCCCTTCACCTGGTAACCCAAGCACAGACTCCATCCACTTCATTACAGGACGACCACGTTTGTTCTACTGTTTTAACAACAGTCACAGAGAACAGAGATGTGTGGCCTACTTTTATTTTATTTTTTATTTTTGATGGTAATATCCCTGCAATATTGCCAAAGAAAGTTGTAGTTTGTGCAAATAATTTCACGATGGACTCCTTTGAAAACTACTAGCAATACAAAGCAGGATTTTCCCAAAGACTTTCAGCTGATGGAAAGTTCTGTCCCTACTGTTCCTCACAAATCTGCAGATGATGGCAATGTAAGAGATATCTTGTGTGTTTAGTACTGCTGTTCAGCGTGAACGTGATTTGTCATTTTGCACACACTAATGCTGAAAAATAGCGCGCGATCGTGATCGACGACTGACGAGGCGAGCACCTTCCATGACCCTGTAGCCTGGAGACTCCCGTGTCGGAAGCCTCCAGGCTGCAGCCCCTTTGTTCATCTTTMCCCGTCCACAACACCGGCCTCAGGAAGTGGCCTCTGGAAGTGCCTTCTGGAAGTGGCCTCTGGAAGCCACGAAAGACGTGGGTTGGCCTCCCCAGCACTAAGGTGTTTGACTTTGGTCGGACACTCTAGTCTGTCCTGAGCCCTTGCCCGGGGTGGCTGCACAGCATCGTCAACTGATCCAGGTGGGGTAAATTGCGTTGCAGCAGCWTGGACTTTGGCCTCTCCTTTGTTCGTCTATCACCCTCCACTATGCCAGCTCTAGTCTGTCCCTACAAATCCCTTCCCTGGGGTGGCTGCATGGCCCGCAGCCTATGGTTGTACCAATGCGCAACTGTTTGTACCATTTTCATGTATCTGAAATACAGTGATCCCTCGTTTTTCGCGAGGGTTGCGTTCCAAAAACAACCCGTGATAAGTGAAATCTGTGAAGTAGTGGCCTGTACACCGGATTCCCACCGAAAGCGTTTTGAGCAGCAAAAATGCACCCAGCGCCTWGGAYGCACTGAAGCGTGTTTGGTGTTGAACGCAGCAGGGACTAAACGCGCGTCTGAACAGGGAGGAACACTTAATGATGGGTGAAATAAAGACAAAATAAAGAAAATGGCTTTGCTTTATTTTCTAAAGAGCAAGCGAACGTTGCGCACACCAGATGATTAATTCACCAGATAATTTAGAGGCGGTTTTTTTTGGTCAGTTTCGCCACTCCAGGAGCTGCGAGCTGACGGACTCCCCCCGACCCACCGGCAGCGCCTGCTGCAAAGCAGGAGGAAAGGAGAGCGGAAAAAGTCCAGAACTTATTTCTAGCGGCAGAAAAGGTTGGAAGATGGTTATTTGGTGTTATTTGTTGTTTTTTAAATCATCCTACAGGCTCTGACCTGTTGGTAGCCTCTTGAGCACAGAGACTGTTTAGCCAATCAGCACGAAGAACACAACGCACTGTCAAAAATAAACTGCACAAAATAATCTGTGAAGCAGCGAGACCGTGAAAGGTGAACCGCGTTATAGCGAGGGATCATTGTACTAACATAAACTTTGTGTTGGGAGGGCAGAGCTAACATAAACAAAAGGTTGGTAGGGCATTGCCAACAGCAGTTTATTTATATAAATTGCTCAGTCTGAAAGGAGCTCATAACAGGCAAAACTGACAAGGTGAAATCTTATTATCTGAAAATGATTTTATGTAAATGTGTAATATATGTAAATCTAATAAACATGTTTTGTATAGCCCACAGATGTATCCTAACTTGTTCAAGGAACCATAATAGGTCTCTTTTAAACAACGCGTATTGGCAAAAGGACATAGTAYAAGTAAAATTCGTGATAAATTAAATTTTTCATGACAAAAATATTATTTTGATTTGATGTAATTATTATAATGTCTGTTTTTATAACTTTTCTTAACAAAGGAGTTTTACATTAAATGTGAATGATAGCAACTGAACTCCAAGTGAAATTAAAATGACACTGCAAAGCATTTACTTTAAAAACATCCAAGATTTGCGAAGGGCTCTACTCAATTCTTCTACAACTCCATTATACAAGGAAGCCAAAATTTGTTTTTAGTCCAAGCCAAAGGCTAATCAATCAATATTATTGCTTACAGAAATACTAATGACCATTTCCCACTCATACTTATTGTAGCGTTTAGCACATATAAATCTTAACAGAAAAAATAATTTAGAAAGGTAAATGATTAGAATTCGTTTTGTGTCTTAATTTCTACTAACAACTTGTTTCATTTATTATTTGTTAGTGATGCATTTTTACAAAGAAAACCCTCATAATTTGACTTGAGAATACTGCTCAAGTTGGGCATCTTTCATCTTTTCTTGGATGCCATTTTATCAACAAGAGTTTGGTCGGTCTCATTTAAAGTTCTCTGTTGCTTTTTCCACAACTAAATATTCTGGAGAAATTCCAACTTATATTTCTTGGCTTTAAAGTTGACCAACGATCATGAGAAGACTGCTACAAAAAGCTAATTTAGTTTCAAGCAAAAACAGAAGTGATATAACTGTAATACCTTTAAAGTATCGTACTTAGGGCCAGATAAAATGTTAAAGGAAGGCAAGACTTAGCCTTAAGTTTGACACATGTCCTACATGTAGCTCTACAAACACTGTTCAGCCTTAAAATACAGAATTTATGGGATTACAAATTGGAGGTAACAGTCCTTTGTTTATATTCTGTAAAATACAGTAACAACCCTGTACTGTATTTCAAGTCARTTAGTACAAAAAACTAAATCAGGGGTGCCCAAACATTTTCCCCGAGGGGGCCAAAATGAAAATCTRTCCATGGCTCCGGGCCAAATGCAGTTATATAATACATGAAATACAAATACTTTAAAGTCCTTTATTTTTAACCATGAAGCTGTGCAATGGCCCTCTTTTGTTTTACTCTGTGCACTTGGAGAAAGTCTGCCATACGCTCAAGTAGCAAAGGCTCATGGGACATATCATAAATTGATAAAATATGAGTTTTGGTGTCCTTTTAAAGTGTGCTAATCTACATGTGGGGTTAAATCTGATCTAAATATTTCTTGTTGTCATTTCATGTTTCATGTTTAATCCTAATGAATCAAAGATAAAGTCAGCACCATGACTGAAAACTACCTTCACTACAGCCTCTTTATATAGTCATTTGACCAATGGAAATACTGTGTTTCTACCTATAGGATAACAGGCTACAACCTTGTAACTTTGGCAACTTGGGCCAAATTTGGCCCGCGGGCCCCACTTTGGGCTCCTCTGAACTAAATGAAACGTAG